AAGAAAATCACAACAGCTGGTATTATTGAGAACATTAAGAATGCTTATTGGAGAAATAATACCCACATCAACTTTGAAGAGCATGAAACTGAATCTCACTAGGGCAGTTCCATGCCTTCTACTTATCTCTATCTAGGAATGAATGAATCAGAAAATTCTGCAAATGATTTATGATTTCCCTTATATCTGGAAAGGGAATATAAATGAATAAAAGAAGGAGCCCAAGAGGCTATGTGGGTAAGTGTGCACATGGCAGATGAAATGCAATTAAGAGAACAAACACCATTATACAGATGAAGCCTCGACCTTATACACATTTCTGAAGGAGACCAGATAAATGGCTTATTGTCTGTTAAACGATTACTTTCTATAATTCAAGAATTAGCACCTAGGTGGTACGTTAAACAAATGTCAAGGGTGTGTGTCTAGCTTATGTGATACCTATTTTTTTGAGAACTGCTCCATCTATCCCTACTCACAGTCTACTCTGGACTACCATCACAGATGACGGGACTAGGATGAACACTTGATCCAAACGAGGCCAATCTAATTATTTTCATAGAGATCTGGGAATAGGAGTGAGATAGTGCAAATTCAGGAGCTTTAGGATGAGCCTTTTCTATCATATACCCTGAGATCCAGAGACAGCTGTCCTGGATATGGGCAGAGACAAGTGTAGAGCTAGGAAGTGTAGAGTAGTCATGCCTGCATGAATGCCTGGTGGCTCTCCAGGTTCTGTGTTTAGTCCCTGGGCAAGCCAGCTATCTTTGGGTACTTTCAGATACTCCCACATCCTTCTAATAAATTCCCTTTACTACTTAAGCAGTTAGTCTCTCTTACTCCAACCAAAACAACTTAGCTAAGAAAAGGGAAGTCTACACACTCTAAGCACATCTGTCATGGTGCTTAGAACCTTCATTGTGATATAAAGGTTCAGGCCCACTTCTCCAATGAACTCCTCAGTGAATGTGAGAGAGAAGCTATAGACTTAAGAAATAAATATGTTTGAAAATAAACATGAAATCATTGTATCTTTAGTACCTAAAATTGAAGAACTCTAAGGTTTAGAGAAGAAAAATGTATATGTTCAATAAATTCAGTCAAACCTAGGAGACTTTAAAATACACACACACACGGAAATGGGATGGAAGAGGTGAGGAACCAGTCACGAGAAAAGAAATAAAGCCAGAATTTAACCTTTTCTGCTACTTGGACTGGCAATGTTTTGTGTATAATTCATGCAGGATCTTGCTTGAAGTTGGATGTGAATTGATTCACAAGAGAGTTGGAGATAATGTCACTGTGAATATTAAATCAACCGCCAAGAGGTGGGAAGGTGGTGACACTAAAGATCAGATCAGATAAAAACCCAGTGAACTCTTAAATAAAGAAACAAGTGAGCCCAGCTGGGCCATAAACAACCACCAAAGTAAAAGGCAATAAAAAAGAAGGAAAACAAGATACTCAAATGTAATAAAGCAAGACTTATAATGACTGGTGCCTAGAATGCCATTTAAGTAATATAAGCTTCTGCAACCACAGTGATTAAAGAATATATTTAACTGGTTGTCTAAACTTTCAGTGGGATCACCCTGAATGGAGTATGTCTTACATTATTATGAGTTGTCTTTCCTAGTACTTTAAGAAACAAGGACCAGAGAAGGAAAACACTGACCTGGATCTGGCAGGTTTAAAATGGACCTTGATTTAAGTGGACAGTGGGTGATGAGCTTCAAGACCTTTCATGAAGAAGAGCCTCCCTCAGTCAAGAGAGTACATTAAGAGAAGAATGAGCTCTAAGGTTAATGGGCAAGACACATAACTCAGATTTGCTACATTCCACAATTAAAGTCCACATTTTATCTTTATTTCAAGTGTCTTGCTTGGTCAAAAAATTCTTAGTATATAATCAAGATTAAATTTAAATAAGCATTAAATCATCACATTGCATACCTTAAACCTTCACAACATTACATGTCAATTACATTTCAATAAAGCTGGAAAAAAATGAATGACTAGAAGTAGGGGCATTAATTCATCCATGTGGGAAATGAATCCTGAATACTCATGAAGAATTGTGATGGAAAGATGAAATTTCTTATATATGACAAGCATGATACAAGAATCTGCCAAGTATTTTTAATTATTTTTAATTTAGTTTTAATTAAAAATCTATTTGAGATACAGAGAGAGGAGAGGAGGGGCAAAGGGAGAGAGTACTGGGGAGGGGGGTGGGGGGGTGGAATGAGAATCCCAAGCAGGCTCCACACTCAACTCAGAACCTGACTGGGGGCTCGATCCCATGACCTGAGATCATGACGCAAACTGAAATCAAGAGTTGGGTGCTCAACCGACTGAGCCACCCAGGTGTCCCAACATTCATAATTTTTAAAGCCATAAATCCTTTATCACAATTTATTAGCAAAAATAGCACAACAAACTGAGTTAGCTTGTTAGCAGATTCACATTTAGTATATCATGTAAATGTTGCTCACACTTTAGCTCTGCTGTAGGGGTAAAAATATTCTCTACAGTATAAAATGTATTAGGCAGATATAAGTGTTTATTACTCATTTAACTCTAAAATAAGCTGGATCTAGGGGTGCCTGCCTGGCCCAGTTGGTAAAGCATGAGACTCTTGATCTCATGGTTGTGAGTTCAAGCCCCACAATAGGCACAGAGATTACTTTAAAAAAATTAATAAATTAATAAAATAAAATAAGCTGGATCTAGAGAATGTAAAGTTCATTATAATTGAAATTGGCCCGAAATCAACATAGGAAACCCACAAAACTTTTATTATTATAAACAAGAGATACAATCTTTTTAAACAAGTATTGAAAACAATTATTTGATTGATATACTAGTGTATGTTGTTTTTCAGGGTTGAGAAGAACCAGTTATCAATAAAATTCAATTCAGTTCTACTATGAGCAAAACAATGTGCCAGATTATGTACTGCTAGTGGAAGTATGATTGGCACTCCCTGCCCAGGAAAGCAATTTAGTTAAACAAAAAGTTTTGTATATGTTTATATCTTTGACACAGTAATTCTACTTCCAGATCTCTTATCTAAAGAAATAATCAGATGACTTCATGGGTAGCTATTTAAAGAAGCAGTAATACCAATTCTTTATGAGCTCTTCCAAAAATTAGAAGAGGAGGGAATACTTTCCAACTCACTTGATGGGGCCAGTATTATCCTGATACCAAAACCAGACAAAAGACAAAGACCAACATCTCTTATAAATTTTTGATACAAAAATCTTCAACAAAATACTAACAAACCAAATCCAATAACATATAAAAAGAATTATACACCATGACCAAATGGGATTTATTGCAGGAATACAATGTTGGTTTAACATTCAAAAATCAATGAATGTAACACAACCATTATCAATAGACTAAAAAACAAACTTACATGATCATGTCATGAAACACAGAAAAAGTACTTGATAAATTCCAACATTCTTTCATGATAAAAAACACTCAATAATTAGGAAAAGAAGGGAACTTACTCAAGATGATAAAGGGCATCTACAAAAAATCTACAACTTACATCATACTTAATGTTGAAAGACCAGATACTTTCCTCTTAACATTGGGAATAAGACAAGGATATTCACTTTTGCCAGTTTTAGTCAACATTGTACTGGAGGTTCTAGCCAGGACAATTGTGCAAGAAGATGAAATAAAACATACACAGATTGGAAAGGAAAAAGTAAAACTATATTCACAGATGGCATGATTTTATATATAGAAAATCTTAAAGAACCCACTAAAAAAACTGTTAGAACTAATAAAAGGGTTCAGGAAAGTTGCAGGATATAAGATCAAATGCATCAAATCAATAGCATCAATAGCATCAAAACGAATAAAATACTTAGGAATAAATTTAACCAAAGAATTGTAAAACTTACATTCCCCAAATCATAAAACATTGTTGGAAGAAATGAGAGATGACCTAATAAACATAAATCAGTCCATGTTCATGGATTGGAAGACTTAATATTGTTAAGTTGGCAATATTCCCCCAAATTGATCTACAGATTCAACACAATACCTACCAGAATAACAGCTAACTTCTTTGTATAAATTGACAAGCTAATCCTGAAATTCACGTGGAAAGGCAAGTGATATAGAATAGCCAAAACTTTAAAAAGAACAAAGTTGAAGGATTCATACTTCCCAATTTTTGAACTTATTACAAAGCAATTAATCAAGATACAGCAGTACTGACATAAGGATAAACATGTAGATCAATGGAATAGAATGAAGATTCCAGAAATAAGTCCATGTATCTATCAATGGTCAATTGATTTTAGAAAGGATGCCAAGATGACTCAATAGGGCAAGAAGAGCCTTTTCAACAAATGGTACTGAACAACTGGATATCCACTTGTAGGAGAATGAGTTACCTCACATCATATATAAAACTTAACTCAAAATACATCAAAGACCTAATGTAAGACTCCAAACTCTTAGAAGTTCTTTAAAAAATACTATCAAGAGAGTGAAAAGACAACCTATAGAATGGGAAAAAATATTTGCAAAGCACATACATAATAAGGAACTTGCATCTAGAATAACAAACTTTTACAACTCAATGATAAAAAGACAACCCAGTTTAGAAATAGGCAAAGCATCTAAATCGACATTTCTCCAAAGGAGATATACAAATGGACAAGACATAATCAGAAAAGTGAATAATCTGATATATAAGTGTGCTCACTACAGCAATATTTACTTAATAGCCAAAAGAAAAGGCAACCTACATACCCCAAAATAGGCGAATAATGACATAAATTATAGTACATCAAAACATTGAAATATGATATAGCCATTAAAAAGATTTATGAAATGGCAGCATAGGGGAATCAGTAAGTATGAGAGCAGTGGAGACACATGGCTTGTGTTTCAGTCCCAGTTGTACCACTTAGCAGATTCGTATTCTTGGACACATAACAGGTCTAAACTTCCCTTTTCTTCATCTGCAGTTTTTTTTTTTTTTAAAGATTTTATTTATTTATTCATGAGAGACAGAGAGAGAGAGAGAGAGAGAGGCAGAGGGAGAAGCAGGCTCCCAAGGAACAGGGAACCTGATGTGGGACTCGATCCCAGGACCCTGGGATCATGACCTGAGCCGAAGGCAGACGTTCAACCATCTGAGCCACCCAGGCGCCCCTTTCTGCAGTTTTTTTGCTAGGATTAAGGCAGTTATCTTTGTGAAGTGCTTAGCACATGGCATAGCGCATAATGAGCCCTAAATACCTGTTTGAAAAAAAAGGATTCCAGTGTGCTTTTATTAGCATGTTGACATCCTTCAAATAAAGTACCAAGTAAAGAAGGAGGATATGAAAGTACACATAAGATATTCAACAAACTTTGAATGAATGGTTAGATAAATGGGTGGGTGAATGAATGCACAGGATAAATAAATGGATGAATACAGAAATATGTAATGACATATTATAGTAGTCCATGTCATTCCTTTAGCAGGGCAGGTAATTCTGATTTGTTACTATTTCACAGTTCATATGTCTATTTTTTTAAGGATACTTTTTTTTTTTAAGATTTTGTTTATTTGAGAGAGAGAGAGAGTGAGAGAGAGCATGAGTGGGGGTGGGGTAGGGAGAGGGACAAGCAAGCTCCCCGCTGAGCAGGGAGCCCGATGCGGGGCTCGATCCCAGGACCCTGGGATCATGACCTGAGCCAAAGGCAGATGCTTAACCAACTGAGCCACCCAGGTGCCCCTTGAGGGTACTTCTTAACTTTTCATGTTCTTTTGTGTGTGTCGTGCCCAGTTCTCCTATGAGTGTCTACCAAGAAGAGGTGACATTAACCAGAAACATTCATGGATTGCAGAGAAAACAGGCCGTTTTATTTCTACTCAGACATTAGCGCTACATTCCCTGCTAGAGGCAGCCTGTGGTTTGTATGTGCTACAAGTACATATTGAACTTACTAATTTTTTAAAAATCCCCCCTTGTTGGCAATTAGCAATCAAATTCTTAATTAGCTTAAATCCACCTGGCTATTTTGCACCTAATAAATCAATTAATTCAACTCACATGGAGGGGATTGCACCTAGTGCCATATTTTAGTCATTACTGACCATCACTGTGTGTGGCTGCTGTATATACAGTGAAAACACGATATCCAAGCAGAATTTGTATTCTCCAACTGTTCTGCAGTCTGTCAGATAAGTGGAGAGTGTGGTTAGTGTTTTTAATGTAGAACGGGATTTAGCAACAGGCCTCAGAAGACCAAAACAGAAATTAGGAGTCTAGTGTACGTTTTAAACAGGTTCCCTGTTTAGGTTACAGCCTTCCAGATATGCCTGATGATGTGCAGTGTCATTCATTTCAGACTCAAATTATATGTTTCCAGTAGAAAAATGATATTATAGTCTCTGTTGTTGAAATAAAGGTTGTTGAAGAGTGGGATAGAAATTCCAGGACATGTCAAGAATGAATTCCACCCGATTATACTTTAGCCCCAAGTCTCCTGGTGGGTACACAGCTTGGGGAAAGAGGGCAAATTTAAGTCCTCATTTTAAAAGCCAACTTGAAGGACTTTCAAGTAGAGACAAGTTGCTTTCCTCCATTTAATACTATGTTTGTTTCCTGAAAGAGAAACTTCTTCGGGGCAATGGCAGTGAAGTAGCTGTGTGTGGAGAATTTTAATGATCAATATAAAATCTTTAAAAAAAATAGGTTGAGTTTTTATGCAAACACTACTGCATATCAATCTCTTAATTATTCCAGATATCTGACCTAGTGACATTAATGCTTTGAAAATAAAATCCCAGTGTCAGGGCACCTGTGTGGCTCCATCTGACTCTTGATTTTGGCTGGGGTCGTGATCTCAGGGTCCTGAGATTGAGCCCTGCATTGGGCTACATGCCGGGCATAGAGCCTGCTTAGAATTCTCTCTCCCTCTCCCTCTGCCCTTCACCCCTCCCTGCTCTCTCTCTAAAATAAATAAACGAATAAACAAATAAATAAACCCAGTGTAATCAATCTATTGAAATGTTTAGATACAGATTGAAACATACTGCTGCAGCTTAATAGTGTGTATTTCATTCACAAGTCTGAAAATATGGTTGCTGAATGACAAAATATTTCATTAACCTATTCTGATTCAGGCATGCCAATAAAGCATATGGGAACATCAGAATCAGGTCTGGGGAGGTAGGGGAGTGGGGGAGTGAGGGAAAGTCTAGTGAACCAACACCACTTCAGAGGTAATTCTTATGGTGTGCAAATTCCAGTGCCCCAAGAAGTAAAACGAAATCTCAGCTTAATCTTTTTTTCTTTGTTAAAGCTTTATTGAGATATAATTCACATATAAAATTTAGCCTTTTCAGTATACAATTCAGTAGGTTTTAGTATATTTATAGAATTGTGTAAATATCACCAATATCTATTTCTGGGACATTTTCATCACCCTAAAAAGAAACCTCCTATCAATTAACAGTTACACCCCATTTCCCCCTCCTACCATTAAGGGCTAGTCGGGGGGGGCTGATACGAGGTGTGACTGGACAGTTCATATAAATGGGATCATACATTATGTTGCCTTTCATGACTGGCTTCTTTCACTTAGTGTTATGTTTTCAAGGCTCATTCACGTTGCAACATGTGTCAGTACTTCATTCCTTTCTACTGCTGAATAATATCTCATTTCGTGGATTTACAACATTTTGTTTATCCATTCTTTAGCTGGTGCACATTTGGGTTGTTTCTATTTTTGAGCTATTATGAATAATGCTGCCATGAATATTCGTGTACAAGTTTTTATGTAGGCTTAGTTTTCAATTCTCTTGCATATATACCTAGGAGTACAATGGCTGTGTCTTATGGTAAATCTATGTTAACATTTTGAGGAAGTGCTAAAATGTTTTCTGAAGTGGCTGCCCTATTTTAGAAACCTACCAGCAATTTAATTATTGTTGCAATTTCTCCATATCCTCCCCAACATCTGTTATTATCTTTGGATTATACCCACCCTATTGGTGTGAAATAGTATCACACTGTGTTTTGATTTGCATTTCTCTAATGACAAAGGATGCTGAGGACAATTTCATATTTATCAGCCATTTGTATATCTTCTTTGAAGAAATGTTTATTCTTTTCTTTTGCCCATTTTTTGACTGGGCTGTTTCTGTTTTAATTGTTGAGCTGTAAGAGTTCTTCATATATTCTGGATATAAGTCCTTTATCAGATATGTGATTTATAAACATTTTCTCCCCTTTGGTGATTTGTCTTTTCATTTTTTTGATGGTGTCCTTTGAAGCACAAAAGATTTCATTTTGATGAAGTCAAATTTTTTTTTTTTTCTTGTCATTTGTAATTTTGGTGTCATATCTAAAAAACCATTGCCTAAATCTAAGATCCCAAGGGTTTATGTCTGTTTTCTTTTAATAGTTTTATAGTTTGAGCTCTTCCATTTATGTCTTGGACCCACTTTGAACCAATTTGTGTAAACATGAGATAAGGGTTCAACTTCATTCTCTTGTATATGGATACTCTGCTGTCCCAATACCATTTGTTGAAAAGACTGTTCTTTCCCCCATTGAATTGTCTTGGCACCCTCATCAAAAATCAATTCCATAAATGTAAGTTTTTTTCTAGACTCTCAATTCTATTTCATTGATCTATATGTTTATCCTTATGCCAATACCACACTGTCTTGATTACTACAGCTTTGCAGCAAATTTTGAAACTGAGAAGTATGAGTCCTCCAACTTTATTAGTTGCTTTTAAAATTGTTTTGGCTACTCTGGGTCCCTTGCAATTCCATATAAATTTTAGAATCAGCTTGTCAATTTCTACCAAAAAGTCTTGGTTTAATCTTAATTTATACCAACACTCAACAGTTTCTGATCCAGGGGACAGGACGTAAGTGATGAAGTCATCATTGAAGTCAGTTGCAGCCTCATGTTCTAGGTGGTCAGTTCTGGGTAGAGCGTGACCTCAGCAGCATTTACAAGAACAAAAGCAGGCTTCAGTACCTGAAGGCAGAAGAGAGCTGGCAAACCTGGGCAGAATATGAAGATCAGAGCCAAGGAATATAAAATTCAAGGTCCAGAGATCTGCTATAAGAGCAAGCGACTCTACACCTCAGGTAACCATAGCCAAAAGCACTGTCAGCCACTGCTATGTAAGCATTCAATGCATAAAAGTGATTACTGCTATAATTACTTTGTCACAGAATAACTGATATAAATGAAAGTCATATTACTAGGTTAGCCTTTCCACCAAAGCCAATTTTGTCAATAATAATAATAATAATAATAACCAATATCTGAGAAGCACTTGCCAGTTTATGATACCCAGGCACATACACAATCACAGGATCCAAACAATAACTTTCATAGTAGATGTTATATATGGTCAGTTTATAAACATTTACTAACTTCTTTTATTTTTTTAATTTTAATACTTTATTTTTAAAAATATTTATTCATTTATTGAGAGAGGGAGAGAGAGAGAGCAGGGGGATGGGCAAAGAGAGAGGAAGAGAGAGAATCTCAAGCAGACTCCCCGCTGAGCATGGAGCCTGACATGGGGCCTGATCCTAGGAACCTGAGATCATGACCTGAGCTGAAACCAAGAGCCAGATGCTTAACAAACTGAGCCACCCAGGTACCCCTCTTTTTTTTTTTTTTTTTTTTTACAGATTTTATTTTTAAGTAATCTCTACACCCAACATGGGGCTCAAACTCAAAACCCATCAGGAGTCACACTCTATACCGACTGACCCAGCCAGATGCCCCCTCACCGAAGTTCTTAATGATTGTTTTAGACACTGGGGGTAAAAAAGACAAATAAGGGGAGACCCCTCCCTTCAAAACTCAACTTAATAATGGAGATACAAACATAAAGTATATAATTATATGTGTCAACCAGTATTAAACGTGACAGTAATGGATGCTCCACTCAAATGCGCATGGGAATAATGAGGAAGAAACTCCTAGTCTGACTGGGGATATGTGTTATGTAATAGGAGGAAATAGAGAGATCAAGGTTAAACCTAGATATGACAATAATATAATCTATTGTTTTAGGCAGGGTTCTTCAGAGAAACATCAAAATAGAACAAATTATCTATCTATCTATCTATCTATCTATCTATCTATCTATCTATCTACATAATGAGATTTATTATAAGGAACTGGCTCACTCAACTATAGAGGTGTCTTAATGATGAATTGTTTTATGTGTGAAAGTGTAGCAAAGTGTATTGCTCTTCAATACATCTATAAACTCATGAGTAAAAATGCCCCAGTGCAAAACTCAGGATCTCAGGAAATAATTTCAACAGAGGAGACTTGTCCACACCAAGCTAATAGTTGCTATGTGGAAAATTACACTGATGCAGTAAGAGCCTAGAAGTACTTTACCAGGCAAAGTCTCATGGATGTTAAGGCACAGAGAGGCTCACAGATCAAATTAAAATGTTCAAACCTCATATTTTATTAAATCAATTTAAAGGATACAATGAGAATCAAGGGGAAAGAGCTGGGGTGGGTTAACACCCTCAGGATATGGTGCAAACTTCCACTCAGGATTTAGAGAGCTGGAAAGAGCATCATTCCCACCTTTACAACAGAAAAAATTGGGTAATCTGCAAAATTACTTCTTGAATGCTTCAGATAGCTCAGGTTGCAAGGCAACCAGCTAACCCAAAATACAAAAAAAAACCAGGTATGTCCAAGAAGAGATGGGTCACAAGCACTTGCTCACCCAGGGCAGATGTGAGATGCCATCCATACAATATAGTAAGAAGAATTTATTTTAGCTAAAAATGTTTACTGGACTGCTAAAGGCTGAGTGTGAGCTTGTATAAGATTCTATAATTCCTGGGCACCTGGTTGGTGCAGTTGGTTAAGTGTCCGACTCTTGGTTTGTGTTCAAGTTGTGAGATCAGGCCCCATGTTAGGCTCCACACTCAGTGTGGAGTCTGCGTGAGATTCTCTCTCCCTCTCCCTCTGCCCCCCGCTCGTGCTCCCTTTCTCAAATAAATAAATAAATCTTTTTTTTTTTAATTATATAATCCCTAGGAGCCACAGAGACAAGAAGAATTTGCACACACTTGTGAGCTTTTCTCTAAGGATCTCACTCAGTACCCACATGAAAGATTGGAGGTAGGAGAGACAGAGAAAATACAGGCCTGGGAGAGGAGAACCACCACTGCTGGAAAGACACAATGCCCAACCTAGTCCCTTTCCCCTTGAGAAATAAAAGCCAAAGTCACTGGAAAAAGAGTAATAAACCCTGTCACCTATAGGGCACCTATGCAGCTGGGAGAAATGACCAAACACACAAGCAAACAAACTTCTGCTTTTCACAGAGGGGCAGGAAAATGACCCAGAAACATAGCCTCTAAGACTGAGATTGAACCAGAAAACTCAACTCCCCAGTCCCCACCATCAGGCTAACAAGCTCTGAGTAACAAGAAAGAGCAGTTACTGCTAAGGGAAGGGCAATATCAAGAAGGGAGTTCCCTCTCTGACGTGCAGGCAAAAAGAGAAGACCTAATTCTGAGGGTGTGGGAGACACTGAGAAAAACCCTCCAGCAAACCAGCCGCCAGCCTAAGTGCAAGATAAGCTAGAAAGATTTGAAACCTGTACTGAAGGTAACTTTAGTGACAATAAAACACAAACCCAGCTCAATTCCCAACTAACTGTCTCAATACCCCACACTAAAGGGCTAGCAATAGAAAGGGCATGTCTACTTTCAGGCATGAATGCTACTTCCCACACAAGATGCTCAGTTTTCAATCAAAACTCACCACAAAGAAGCAAGCAAAAACAGCACTCTTGTTAAAAGACAAAGCAGTTAATAAATGCAGATATGACCCAGATATTGGAACTGTCAGACAAGGAACTTAACTACAATTAACATGTTAAAAACTCTAGTGTGCTGAAAGAAACAATCAAATGAAATACTAGAAATGAAAACAGAGACGAAGAATTCTTTTTGGTAGATTTGAAACATCCAAGAAAAGGAGAATAGAAATTACACAAACTGGAATACCAAGAGGAAAAAGATGTTTAAAAAAATAGAATAGACCATTCAAGAGCTATGGATCAATATCAAATTGTATAACACACTTGTAATTGGAATCCCAGTAGAACAAGTTAGAATTGGACAGAAGAAATATTTGAAGATATAATGGCAGAGAATTTTCCAAAATTAATGAAATATATCAACCTACAGATCCAAGAAGTTCAGGGAATACCAAACTAGGTAAATACAGCACCGCACACACATCATATTCAAACTAGTGAAAACACGAGATAAAGAGAAAATCTTGAAGTCAGAGAAAAAAACCAACAACATTACATAAGAATTATAGTACAGTTGACCCTTGGGCAACATGGGAGTTTTGGGCACTGACCCCCCTGTACAGTTGAAAATCCATGGATAATTTTTGGTTCCTTGAAAACTTAACTACTAATAACCTACTGTTGACTAGAAGGCTTATCAATAACATAAATGCATATTTCATAGGTTATTTGTATTATATATAATATATATTGTATTCTCATAATAAAGTAAGCTAGAGAAAAGAAAATGTTTTTTGAAAAATCATAAGGAGGAGAGAATACATTTATGGAACTGTACTGTATTTATTGAAAAAAAAAATCTGTATATAAGTGGAGCCATGCATTCAAACCCATGTTGTTCAACTGTAGAACACATTTCTAATCAGATTCTATGGAAGCCAGGAAAAAAATGGAGTGACATGTTTAAAGTTTTGAATGGATGGAAGGACCACACTATATGCATTCTGGGTTATGGTGTTCATATTTCTTGTCTTTCTGCCACATCAGCCTTCTCCACTGATGGTGTAGTTTAAGGATCAGTATCAGGTTTAAACAAAGGGTCTTAGAAGATGGAAGGTGACTAGAACAAATACATGCTTCAATGATGCAAGAAAAAGAATATAGCATGCCTGCTGAGCAACTCTTTTGGGGCAGAGGTAACACAGGACCAGAATGATATCATCAGTGAGTGGCTGATTTAATACTGGGTGCTTCAATATTGAGTGGTCAGTATTGAATATTGAATGCTTCATGTGCCTCATGTTTATTTAGTGTATTATGAATATTTTGTGCCTCTTGGTCCTTCTACCTTTCAGAGCTCCTAATACCTTTGTAATTTCCTTCATATATATCTATATACATACACACACACACATAAACACTTTTTTGGTTCTATCCTTTTTATTGTATATTCCAACTATTCTATTTTTTAAATGTCTTATAGATAACTTACTATCTATACTTAACCCATCTAATTAATTTTATCTATATCTTGCAAGCCATTTGACACACTTTGAGTTTCGTCCATCCCATTTTTTTTTCTTATCCTCCATAACAGAATTAAATATTACTGAATAATACTGCATACTCACATTGTGAAAATGCTTACTCTCAAGAAAAGTTAGAGAATCCTGAACCAAAGAAGACACATCCTCTGCTTCCTTAGGTACTGACTTTGATATCCTTATCTTGTGTCAGTTTTGTATCCACTGCCATCAAGTGCCAGGACCAAACTGCTGGATCTGGAGCAACAGAACCCAAGTCACTGCATTAAAAAAAAAAAAAAAAAACAAAACTCTAATTGATAACTGACCCCTTTGGCATAATCTGACAGCATCTCATTCCCCAAGCTGGCTGTTGCCTCCCTTATCTCATATTTTGGGTCTAGACCTTGGATATAAACCCGAAGCACCCCTGTTTCCATCTTGTCTGTTCACTTCTGCCACCTAATGTACCTCATCACCTCCCCATATTTATACAGCTACTCCTGCCACAGGGCCCGCCCCCTGTATAGGTTTCAATTTGTCAATATTAAGCTTTGAGCAAACCTTGCCCCCAGCCCATTGCCAGCAAATGTATTGTTACCATTGTTTTGCCTGTAGCAGGCAAAACTGTGTAAGGATCTCCCTCTTTCCCACTGAGCCCAGAATTGGGCTGAAAATACTTCTTAACACCATGTTCCAGGTGGCCCATCACAATCAATCAAAGTAGGCAGTTAAGAGAACACCTAATTGCCAACTCGAATCTTTTCTTTCACTATGGATTATTCAGACATAAATTAGCTTAGCCTAATTTAACATGGCATAGCCTTAGACTTCCCCACTTATGTCCCAGCTTAACAACTGGCGCCTGGTAACTGATTGAAAGCTGTTAAATCACTCTTAATAAATACTCACTTTGATGAGTGTGTTGCACTGACCATCATGTTCAGAGATCTGCTACAGTTCCCTCAATTTGCTGGCACTTGAATGTCTCCATTATATCCACACTGTTCTTTCAGTCCAGAATGCCCTTTTGGTCTCAGCTAGATGTATCTTTCTAAAAAGGAATCTGATCACATGCCTGAATTGCTTAAAAACCTTGACTGGCTCCCTGTTTATTACAGGATAAAGTATACATCTGTCAGCATGCCATAGAGGACCTTCTGTGAGCTGCCTCTCGCTTATCTCCTCATCCATCTCACATTAGACCCCTCCCTCCCTTATACCCTCCAATGCATCCATGTCAAACCATTTTCAATTTTCCAGTCATCATTCCTCCATACTTTTGTTCAAATTGTTCCTGCTTCATGAAACTTCCCACTAATACCACCTGCCTGGTAATGTCTACTCATATATTTCAAGACTCAGTTTAAGTTATCATCTTCTCTTTGAAGATTTTCATGGCCTAAAAAATGACTAATATGACTGATAAATCTTCTGAGTTTTGGGGGAGACAAATATCTATGGGTCTCTCACATTTCTGTTCATCAGCAGAATGACTCCCTTTGTTTCAGACTACCTGTTCAAGGCTGTTTGAGCAAATAGCCTTGGAAGACAGTCTCTTTCTCCACATTAGAGGACAGGTTTGTTTATTGTCTAGTATAATCAAGATAATGTGTCTCTCCAGGGCAAAGGGCAGGTATGTCTACTGACCTTTATAAAAGATACAGGTTCCCTAAGCTCAGGGTTCCTCTCCCATAATTCAGTGTACTGCACGTGCAGGCATTACCTGGCCCTATGTGCAACACCTAGTAGGAACTGGTGCTTGGAGAACGGGCGGAAAGCCTAACAATCTAGCTACCACTATTGTCATGAAGAATATATTCTTTTGTCTCTGATCTTGAAGACTCATGTCTTCTGCCAACATCTGTGAAATTGTGGCAGGTTAATGAGATAACAGGAAAAAATACATCTATATTGGTCATTACGCTCGGACTCTGACACATAGCTCCTAAAAACCCTTGTAATTTCCTGAATGATAAGAGCACTAGGAGCATCTTTTTTATTAGAACAAAATGAGGGGACTCTGGCTGGTCTCCTGCATGGCTTTTGGTCACGAGAAAGACCAAGCCATGATTAGAAGCTTGAAATTTTTAGTCTCCCCCCCCCATTTCTGCTACTAGGGTGAAGGACTAGTAAAGGAGTTAATAACTGATCATGCCTACATGAGAAAGCCTCCATAAAATCCGAATAGTATGGGGTTCAGGGAGCTTTCAGGTTGGTGAACACATACATATACCAGGAGGAGATGTACCCCAACTCCATGGGGACAGAAGTTCCTGTGCCTGGGACCCTCCCAGATTTTACCCTATGTTTCTCTTCATCTGGCTATTCATCTGTGTCCTTTATCACATCCTTTAATAAATTGGTACACTTTAGTAAGTGTTTCCCTGAGCTCTGTGAGCAATTCTAGGGAATAACCAAATCAAAGGGGGCTGAGGTCCTGGGAGTCACCAGTTTGTAGCCTGGGGACCTCCTACTTGCAATTGGCATCTGAAGTGGGCAGTGGTTTCGTGGGACTGAGCCCTTAACCTGTGGACTCTGATAGTATGCCCACTTAGTGTCATAATTGAATTAAATTTTAGGATACGCATCTTGTGTCACAGAGATTTGTTAGCTGTGGGGAAAAGTCCCCATACATCTGGTGTCAGAAGTGTTGTAAGAGAGTAGCAGTGTGAGATTAAAGGAGAAACACAGGAGGGAAGAACTGGGTATTTATCCAACTCACAGGGTAAAATATCAGACTCTTCACAGTTCTTGACAGTGTTGCACTTGAACTCTGTAATACTTCCAGCAAAAAAATATCATTGTATTACACTTATCAGATAACTACTATGTGATAGATACTGCAATTTGACCCTGAGGACAGAAAGCCAAAAAGACATGCTCCTACATTCAAGGAGTTTATACTCCAGTGCAGGAACAGGACACAGACAATTAAATTCTTCAAGATAATTTATAAGCTGGCACTTATAAAAACACAGAAGACAGAAAACATAAGCCTGTTGAGGAGCTGAAGGAAGACTTCAATGAGGTGGGTATTACTGCCACATAGATGCAAATTCTAATTAACAGAAGTCCGAAATCTGTTCTAATTATCTCCTGGTGTGTAACAAAGGATCCCAAACTTAGTAGTGTAAAATAACAACCATTTTATTATGTTTGTTGGCTTGTGGAATAGGAATTCAGAGAGAACAGAGCAGGAACAGCTTATCTCATCTCCATAGGTCTTGGGCTTCATCTAGAAACACTGCAGAAATCTATAAATGGCTATGAGTGGCTCAGATGCCAGAGGAGTGGAGTCATCTGGAAGTTTCTTCACTCACGTTCTGGTGCTTGAGTCAGGATGACTCTAAGCCTGGGCTCAACTGGGACTGTAGATAGGAGGATCTACACATGACCTCTCCGTGTGGATTGAGAGTCCCACAGTATGGGAAGGAGGCTTCTAGAGAGTGAGTATTCCAGAAAAACCTGGAGTAAGCTGCACAGTTCTTGTGATCTAGTTTTGGAAGCCATGTAAGCATCATTCTGCTATAATCTCTTGGTCAACGTAGTCATCAGCTCACAATGTAGTCATAAGGATTCAAGGAAATGAGACATGTTTATCACATCATAATTGGAGGAATTTCAAATAACGTGTGGCCATATTTTAAAACCTCCAGAATGTGTTTGGAAAATTATAAATAGTTCATTACCATCAAAGGATAAAGTGCCACAGGGAGATGCATCTGAACAAGCAGGCAAGGCTATATGTTATGCAGGGCATTGCTGACCTTGAAACCCCTTAAAAAGAAGCTTAGATTTTGTCCTATATGTGATTAAACTCGTTACCAACATCACTACAGACAAGGAGAAACGTTTAAGAGTTTTAAGTAGTAAAATGATTCAAGATTCTAGCAAAAATGCTGGCACATGGCAAGCTTTGGGATAGATATTTTTTGGCTGCAAATAATAGAAAATGCAATTCAATCTGGTTTAAAAAATAAAGGTAACTTACTGGTTCATGTAAGAAAATTCCCCAAGAAAGACCGTAGGCATGGCTTGAACTAGTTTCTTATCACTAGGGCTCCGGCTTCATTTCTCTGTGATTTTCTTGGCTCTGCCCCTCCCTGTGTTCACTTTATCCTCAGACTGCATTTCCTCGTGGAGCAAGTACAACTTTAATCATTCTAGGTCTCATATCTGCATGCCACACCATCTAGAGGGAGAGAGAACACCCTTATTCTAACATTAGAACCTCAGATTCCCTGTAATTGTTAGGATTGGGTCAAGTGTTGCATAGGAACTAACCTATGTGTCAAAGGAGATGGAACGGTTCAGGTCACATGTTTTATCAGTAGAATCACAGGGATCCCAATGTGGAAATAAGAGGCTTGTGGAAAGGAGAAAGAGGGAAATGAATGTTGATGAGTAAAGAACAAGTGTACAGGTTGGCTGCTTTAAAAATTTGCTAGACAAGCAAATATTTTTCAGCATTAATGACACTTGTGGCCAAACGTGATCTCGCTGGTATATGTGCAAAGGAGGTGGCTGAGACAATACGATACTGGTAAAAGGGTACTGATGTCCAGAAAAAGGGATAGAGAGAGACGAAGTGAGTGAGTGTGTGAGTGATATGACACCTTTGAACTTGTCCTTCCTTGAAGATGTAAACTGAGAAGCTCTGGTATATGCTCTTCCTCTCTAATAATTTCTAAAATTTCCCATGACCTCAGCTCTCCACCTAGCACAGCTGTAAACCCATTCTTATCCATCTTTTGGCTACCATTTTTCTTACAAAGACAATTCCCTTCAAGGTCACCAGCAACCTTTGGTTTGCCAAATTCAGTGGGCATTTTATAGACTTGTTCTTACAGGACTGGCTGCTGTATCTGAAACTCTAAATCTACTGAAAACTCTCTATGACCTGGATGTCTGCAGCACCACGCTCTCAGAATTCTTAAAACTCTTCTTTCTTTCTGGTTTCTCTGTCCTGGTCCAGAGCCTTAATTATGAGTGTTTTTCAGAGACCTTTCCTGGTTTTTCTGCTTTTCTGACTCTAGCCCAGCACTGTCCAGGAGTCATGACACATGTGGCTTTTGAGCATTTGAAATGTGCTAGTCCAAACTGAAATGTGCTATAAGTGAACATACACTCCAAATTTCGATGACTTCATATTAAAAAAAGGAAGGTAAACTCTCTCATTAATTTTTTTTATATTGAATACATACTGAAATGCTAACATTTTGTGTATGTTGGGTTAAATAAAATATATTATCAATATTAATTTCAACTATTTCTCTTT